GGCTGAGCCGGCTGCATCCCGAAGCAGCTCACTTGCGTGGAGCCCAGCCCCTGAAGTGTCCTTGCCCGCGCAGCCGTCTCCCACCCCGGCCCCTGCCCCTGCCGGCCTCAGAGCCCCTCACTTCCTTCCCGGGCTCTTCCCTCTGTCCCACGCGGCACAGCCGTTGCCCCCTCACCTTTCCTGCCCTTCCTGGAAGCCTCTCCTCCATCTTCCCGCCCCGGACTTCCTTCGTTCTCCTTGGCTGCTTCCTCCGCATGGAAGGCTGCCGGACACTGAGCGGACAGGACTCAGAGACCAGCCGGTTCCACAGAAAGCTGTGCATCCTCCTTTTTGGAAGCAGTGGGAGATGTGTCCCCTCCCCACGGGATCCCCCTCCGTCTTGTCATCTTGCTCTCCCCAGGCCCCCCTTGCCAGCCCCTCTGCGCGAAGGGACCACAGCCCCGGCACGGCTAAGCCTCTGCTCCCGGCTGCAGGAATCCCGGTGTCAGGTCCCAGGGCTGGGTGGCCAATCTCGAAGGCAGGAGTGGAGGGTGGCCCTGCTTGTCCCAGGCCCCTTTCACATCCCAGTGACCCTCCTGTGGCCCACTGTGGGCTGCTGGTGCCTTGGCTGACCATGAGACTAAGCCATCGTTGGCCCAGTGGGTGGCCAGAGCAGAGGCAGCTGCTGGGCCCAGGACTGCGCGCTGGGCCCGCTCATGCGAGTTCTGCCTCAGCCAGGGAGTCAGGGCCTTGGGGCTGCACCTCACCCCCACCCACAGCTGGAGGAGAGGCAGGCCCACTCTTTCCTGGCCCTTCCCCCATTCCCTCTGCCGATGCCCCTGTGCCCCTCCCGCCCCCCAGCCTCCAGTGGCTTTTGGGCAGCTGGGGGTTGTGGGCAGCCACGGTGGCAGGGGTGGTGGTGGAGTGGGTCGGAACTCCCCCCTGCCTGCCTCATCCTTCCAGAACCTGGGGCTGTGGGACCAGCTGCTCTCTGACCAGGCTCATTGCAACGGGAAGGAGAGTAGCAGGAGGAAGAGGGGAAAACCCAGGGGGTGGCGCCCCCAGAGATAGGCAGCCTGTTGGGCCACTGGAGGGAGTGGTCGGCAGTGGGAAGCAGAGGTAGGAGGCACCCCCTGGCCCTGGGCCCCACCCACCGAAGTCTGGCCCAAGGAGGAACCCTCAATAATTTCAACCTAGCGGCAGAGGCTGGGAAAGTGCCGGCCACTGGGGTCCCTGCACCCCTAGTGGGAGAGTGTCTGTTGGTCACTGTTCCCAGGCCCACCACACACTTCCTTCTCACCCAGCACCCAAGCCTCCCTGACACTTCCCCACCCCACCAAGCTTTCCTCTCTCCCGCCTGGGGTCCAGACCTGGCCCCTTGGGATCAGGGCTCACAACAGAGCAAGGTCCTGGCCTGAGGCCAGACACTGGCAGAAGCCACATGGTGCCAGTTCCCTCCCTCCCAGCCTGGGGGTTGGGGGCAGGGCGGTCCCAGCTAAAATAGCTTCTGGAAGAACAAGTCAAGGGGGAGGCCTGTATCATTGTATCCTGCCAGGGGGTCCCCAAGACCCAGGATCCAGGAAGAGATGGAGCCTCCTCAGGAAGTTCCCATTCAGACAAAAGCAACTCAGCAGGAGGGCCCTGGAGGAGCTGCGGAGGGAGCCAGGAAGCTGGTCCTTAGAAGGTGACTGGGGACCACGGTGGGAGCAGCGGCACCGACCACTAGGAAGCTGGTCGCTAAAAGATGATTAGAGGAGTTCATTCAGGAGCAGCCGGGGGCAGAGTCCTAGAGGAAGCTGACCGGGTGGGCCGTTCGCCCTTCCTCACCCACAAATCCCGTGAGCCCAGGCAGACTGGCATGAAAAGCAGGGCCCGTAGTTCCTGGGGGCCACTGTCCTTCGGTGGGAGACCAGAGCCTGCAGGGGGAGCTAGACGCTGGCTGTGGGAAGGCCATGCCGTGGGAGTCAGAGCACAGACTCGTGTCCACGATTCTGAGGCACCCAGCCTTCCCCTCACACCGGTCCTCTACAAAACTTCAGGAGATGCAGTGGTTTTCCTTGCTTCTGTCAAAGCCTTTGTCAATTCCTACTTTGGTTTCTCCTGTCCGTCTGTCCAGTCATTCATCCATCTAAGCATCTCTGCATTTTCCCAGCCACCCTCCTGCCATCTTCCTTCTTCTCATCCACCCACCCACCCATCCCCCTGCCTGCCACCCTCTGTGCATCCATGGGATTCCCTGTATGTCACCAATAACCAAATGTATGTGCTGTGCTCCCTTCTCTGTGAAATATCAGGGTTGGTCTGGATGGCCTCTGAGGCTCTTTCCAATGTGACCCTCTGTGATTCTTTAAACTGAGAAACATGTTTTGCCGGTCAGTCTGACTGGAGAAGGAAATCAGCGCCGCGGCGAGGGCACTAATGCAGTGGCCACGGCCATCTCTCTGCCAAGGAAAAGCCGACAGCGCATCACAGGGGCAAGTTTAGGTGCTGGTGTCTGTGATTCTGTGTTCATAAAGTGCCCCAAATGTGGTGGTGTAGAAAGCGGTGTCCTGCAAGTAGTAGCTGGAGCTTCGAAGGCCTGGGGCAAGAATGGGGGGGGGGGATTTCCCCTGAGAACCACGTCAGGTTAGTGGAGGTGAGGGGGACTCTGAGGCTGTGCTGGGGCCTCGTGGGGAAGAGGGCCTGGGTGGACCAGGCGTGTGGAGGCCTGCTGCCCTTTCCAGTACAGAGCAAATGTCAGTAATCAAGGAGGTAGGAGATGTGGGCCCATCAGTGACCTTGGGCATGTTGTTCTAGGCCTGGTGTCCCCTGTCTAGGGCCGAGGACAAGGCCTGGCTTACCTTCTGAACATCCTATTCAGAGACCCTCAAGGGGCAAAGGGTGTGAAGGGAGATGGAACCAGGTAGGTCACCCAGACCAAGCCCTTCAAGTGAGAGGCAGCATTAATTAAAAGTCAAAAGCATAGGAATCCTTTTAGGGAAATTGAATTTTATTGGGCTTAGCTGTAAGCAGTGAATCAAAACAGATGTTTCATCTGTATTAGGCGGATCTACTTAGATACAAAAATACTCAGCATGGACTTTTAAAAGCCTATTTCTTCCAGTGGATTAAAATATTCTTTCTAATGGTGTGTATTGATTTTCTTTTTAACACAAGTCTTTCTTCCTTGCTCACATAGGGCTAGGACACCGGAGCCTGAGGGGCCTGGCTGGGCACAGCCAAGGCTCATTGCTCTTCCCACACGGTGTTTCAGTGACTCTGAGGAAGGGGACCCAGACCCCGGAGGCTCCCCTCTCTCCCTGCCCAGGACTCTCAGGGGTCAGGAAACAATCATTCATTCAGACGGGCTGATCAAAATAATGCAATAGGAGAAACAACCTAAGGACTGAGACTTAACTTTGGGTCTAATTAATTTCATGGACAGGTTGTCTTCAAGTGTACAAACATTGCATCTGGGTTAAAAAGTGCACCAGAGAGTAAGAGCTAGTGGCAAATTATGTCCAAGATGCCAAAAAATTAAATTAAAATGATAGAAACATTTATTGCCAGGACCCACTGGGATAAATCCACAAATGTTTACCATGCACCTACTGTGTGCAAGGTGCTGTGGGAGCACCCATTAATCACTTCATGTGGTTCTTGAAATATAAAGATGCACTCATAGGGGAGTACAGGAGGAGGGGACATTAGAGGCTCTCGTCTTTGGCCCCCACCGCATCACCCCTGGGTTCTAGCCTGTGTTGCTGGCAGGTTACGGCAGGAGTGTGCGGCGTAGTTGGGGTGGAAGTTGGTGGGGTGCCTCATCTGTCGGCAAGAGCTTGGTGGGTCTGTGAGGAGGGTCTCCCCTTGGCACACACCTGTGTGTGAGAGATCACTGCCTTCCGAAGCTGCGTGGAGGGCCTTGGGACTGGAAGTGTGGCCCACAAGACAGACAAGGTCGGGAGAAGCACGGGAGGACAAAGCCCAGAGCGTGTGGTTCAGAAACATCACAGGAACATGGCATCTCAGACTTGGACACACCGCCCGGGACAGGGCGCAGATCAGCTTCCCCGGGTGAGGCAGGCTCCTATGAAAACCTGTCTGACTGCTCCAGCGCACTGCTCTGGGGCGTCCTGAAGGGAGGAAGAGACCCTGGCACGCCTCTGGGGAGACAGGCTCACAGCCCCTGCAGCGCAGGCCTGGCCCCATCATAAGGAAAACCAATTGGTGAATGTAACTCCATTTTCCCGGCTCTGTCCGGGGAGCAGTTTTTCACTTTCCCAGAGCACTCAGCCACAGAATTTTCTATTTAACAGGCACTCTGCAGATGCATTTAAAAAATATATGTGATTTGCAAAATAACTCGATTGCTCCCAATTTCTCTATCGAGTAAAGTATTTTCAAACAAGTAATCAAGTTGAAAGAACCACTTGCTTTGCCTCCTAAGACATCTGGCATCACACCTTTTAGCTTAAGTTGCTAACCCAAGCACAGCAGTTTGGGCTCTGCATTCAACAAGAAAAATGGGCTGGTTCCTGACTCAGCTGACCGATAATTCTTGCCTTTTAAGTTATAAATCACTAGCTGGTAACATCCTGAAAGGTGTTTTTTTTTTTTTGCTGGAACTTCTAGTCTTTCTGGTTCTCTGAAAGTTGGGTTATGACAGGAAGGTGGTCAGCTACCGGGGGCTGGGGGATCACTCTCAGACTTGCTGGCCCACTGTCTGCAAGGGACATCCTGCAGGGTAGGGTCCTCCTCATTTCCTGCTGGTGCCTTTCCCCCTTCCCAGCTGACCCCCAGAAACTGTGCATTACCATCTCTCTGGACCCCAAAGACATCATTTTTTAAAAACCTTTGATGACCAATCGATCACATTTGCATCAAAGAGCATTCTAAATTTTTTTAAAAGCCTCCTGAATTATGATTCCAGACTCCTCTCACCCAGAATTTGTGATCCCTTAGGACGGTCAGAGATTTATTCTTGTATTAGCAACGGAGACTGCATTGCTTTGTTTAACACGTCTATCAGCCAGCACTGAAACGCTGCTGTGTTCTAGACCTTGAACTGCACCGCAGAGGCATCAAATGTACACAGCAGGCTCCCGTCCTCAGGGCGCAGGTTGCAAGGAGCAGAGGACTCCCGATGACAAGCACAGGCGTAGGGCCCGGGGTCTGGATGGGAGCCCCTTCAGAGGTGGCACGGAGCTTCAGAAGATGACGGGGAAGCAGGGCTTCCCAGAGGGGAGTCTGCGTTGGTCTTGAAGGATGAATGGAAAGCCCTCCAGGCAGAGAGGCCTGGACAA